ATGCTCATTAATCACCAAGAACTGAAATAAAAAAGATCAACTTCAGAAAAACTGTAAGTGGACAGTCTTCTTGTTGGGGCTTGAAATAAATGTCATGAACAGTGACTCTGCAGGGCCCATGCTCCCAAAGCCGTCTGTCCCCACGTAGCTGAGCTTTCGCTGGCAAGGCTGGTGTGTGGCCTCAAGTACTCTGTGCAGTGGCTGTGCAGGACCCGCTCCGCCACACTGAGAGTGTGCTCCAGCTGCAAGCTGTAAGACCAGCCCAAGAAGGAGGGACAGGCTGGTTCCACGTTCGCTCAGTCGTTACCACTGTTAACACAGACTGGTTTGAAACTGGTCACCCATGAGGAAGAATTTTCTAATTCATGACTAATCCTTGAAGCCACACAGCGTATGTCTTTCTCTCATCCATAGTATGTAATTGTAGCCTTAAATAATGTGTAGCAGGTGTTTTTGTTTGTGTCTTTCAGCCAAAAATGAACAGTATCTTTTGATGAGCAATATTCCACGGACTTTTGACTTTTTCAGTCCTTAATCCATTTGTTCTGATATTACTCCAGTGCTTTTTTTAGCATTAAGGATGGAATTAAATTTGTGGCATTTTGTTTGGTGTTGCTTTCCCTTTTTTTGGGAATATTACAGTTTTTGGGAGTATTACCAAGGGAAGAGATGTTGTCTCCTGTCTTGCACTAACCCATGAAACATACAGGTTTGTGCAGCAGTACCAGGCTTTAGGTAAGCAGTAGAAAGCAGTCACTGAGGAGAGAATTGATGCCACTTGCTTCAGAGGTGTCTGTATTGGAGCCTCTATGGCGAGGTTTTGCTGTGAGAGTTGAAAGATGCAGACATACGTGAGCAGACATGACAGGCTGTCCAGGATAGAGTGACATGATCATGCATGTCAACAGACCTGTCAATTCATCCAATGAAAAGTACCTACAGGAAGGTGAGACAGGTGGGATGTATTGTTGTTCATTATATTAAAGCAATCCCCTTGGCTGTCCTTTTTGTCTTATGCATATGTGCAACTTGTTCCTATTCTGGAGGTCTATCTTCCTCTTTAAAAATCTTTGTAATTGTGAAGCTTAGAAGATGGGTGGTGTTGTTTGCAAATGGTCGCAATGAACATTCATCCTCCTCAGTTTATTTCTGAGTCGTGCTTGTATCTAAGCTGTGGGAATGAATTGGATGTGCCATCCAAGCTTATCCGTTCTCAGAGCTCATTTCCACAATATATTACCCTTATGGAAACTATTTCCTGTTTTCTGCTCATCTCTGTTTCCTCCTACTTCTGCTTTTCTGGTGGTGACCTCTTTATTTTTTCTCTGTACACAGCCTTGTTAATATTAGAACAGGAGACTTTTTTTTAATATTTTTTTTCCCTGTGTAACGTCTGTGCCAGTCTTCCTGTGCTTTTCTACCTTTTCTACCTTTTTTGTCTAATCTTGCCCATAGTGCCCTACGTCTCTGGAGTACACCTCTTGGTGCTTGTGTGTCTGCAGTTTCAATATTGCATGTATTTTCTTCACGCAAGTCAAAACTATTTTGGGATACAGTGTGACTGAAAAACGCTATACATCTGAGTGGCCAAAATCTGCCTTATGAGCAGGTGACTCCTCTGACAGGGCTGCAGGCTGTAGCTGGCAGAGGGGCTGTGAGCTGCTGGATCCTGCGTGTGGGAGCATGAGAACTGCTGGAGATCTGGGGATTCCCTGGGACTTAGCTGTGTGCCTAGCTCAATGCTGTTCAACAGCAAAGGGATGGTACCCATGGGCATCATCCTTACCCATCTCTGAACTGTGCCTGGAACTCATCCTACACCCTGCTTTTGCTCTCGGGTAGGAACTTTACTTCCAAGGACTTTACAGTTAATGAGTTTCTGTTTGTTGTTTGGTCTCTGGTTTATTTTTATTTTCCCAACTCTGATGGATTTTAGTGTTTCATTATTACAGGGTTTTGTTATTGAGAACTGTCATAAAAAGCATTATTTTCAGTCTTGGTATTAGAAGTACTTGCATCTTGAAGAACCTAGTGTTTAGTTAGTTCAGAAGGTAGGATTTGAAGGTACTGATTGTAAGACGAATTTAGACCTGGATTATAAATGTAAGTAAGGAAATAAATATATTATCCGCAGAACCAGAGCTTGTCTCAGATACTTTACGGAAGACTTTCAGTTTGCACCTCTACCAGCTCTTCAACAATACAGGATTGAAACTATATTCATGTTTGTTAATCTTTCTGTTGAGGGTTTGTCATGTGTGGAACACCATTTGTTGGAACATTGGCTCAAGCCAGTGATAGATCTTTTCACATTTCTTCCTAAAATATTGGGACTACTACCGAGGAAATCTAGCAGTTATTAACACAAAGACCCTGGGCATATAGTGGGGGCAGAGTCAAGAGGTCAGGGAAGATGTGAAACCCAAAGAGCAAAAAACAATAAAACCAACTGCACTCCAGTGTGAAATTTTTGCTGAGGAAATACAGTTTGTAGGAGGAGGCTACTGTGTGGTTGTAGTAAAAGCATACACTTGAGGAACAACTGCATTGATGGGGTTTCATTTTATTTCTTATAAAATGAAGAGTATCTCCTTCCTACCTTTCATATAGGACTAGAAAGCCAGATTTCAGCTCAGTTACTCCTTTTATTTAAGTTGTAAATACTTGATAACAAATGATATTTAGAATTATATTGATCATTCCATTGAAATAACTTGTTGCATCTACCAGCTCCAGTATGTTTGTATGTTGACTGATCTGTGCTGAGGGAACTGCAGTGGGAAGTAATAGTGAGGACTCTTCAGTGTTCTGCAGATAGTGGGCTGTTTCTGACCTGTCTTCTGCCACCACTCAGTTGTGTGGCCACAGACAAGTCATTTCGCTTTTTTGAGGTTCAGTTTGTTCATCTTTAAAACTGACAATTAAGGTGAATTGTCATGCAAATTGACCCCGTGTTTCAGCACCTATCCAATAAGTTGGCTTTGAGGACCCAGCAGCAGATTTGCTTCAGCATGCGGTTTCCATTCTTTCCCCCAGCCACATAAATCTTTGATTGCCTGGTGGAAGTGGTGGCCCCAACTTCCTTAACCTTGGATCTTTTTTCCTTCCCAAAGACTAGAATCAGGAAGATAATTTATTTTTCCAGTAGTTTGCTCTGATGTATTTCATGTGAGGTGGTGAGCTACTTCAACTGTGAAGAGTTTTTATAGTGTTGATGTATGTAGTTGCCACACTACCCTTACATGAAAAAAAAATTCCTCTCTAGTTGGTTATTTTTTCATTTGGAAGTAATAAACAGGCTGGATCATTGTGAGTGACTCTGTAACTGAAATTATACTAACTGGAGCAGGAAAGTTGTAATAATACTGAGAGCTGCCAGAGCTATGAGCCACCTGCTTTTTTATATGCGTCACATTTATCATGTGGAATTAGACCTGTAAATTGACTGAGCACTGGAACAGGTTGCCCAGAGGGGTTGTGGAGTTTCCATCCTAGGAGATACTGAAAAGCCATCTGGACATAATTCTAGGCAGCTGGCTCTAGGTGGTCCTGCTCGAGCAGGGGAGTTGGACCTCCAGAAGTCCCTTCCAACCTCAGCCATTCTGTGATTCTGAAATTCAGAAAAATGTATCCAGAGTGATGAGCTTGTGTTTACAGGGAGAAAATCCTAGTGCTGATTTATTTTCCTTCCTGTCTCTCTCCTACCAATATGCCCTTAAATGAAAGCCCCAGTTCTGCCATCTGCTATGGCTCAAGGACTTTTCAGATACACCTTTGCAGGCCTTTACGGTCTAAAGATTGCTGTGGAGGAGAGCTTTCGTGGCTGCTAGCTGGAGAACCCTTTAGGCTGAATGGCAATTTCCTGCTCCCTCGCTGATCTTGAAGTGAAGGAAAGCTGCCAGAGCTTTAATGGAAAGTACTGCGCAGTTAGGAGAAAATTGACTGCCCCCTATGTTGCTTTGCTGTCTGCTGGTTTATAAATTGTAATGCTTTTCATTAAAAAAAGAAGAAAAAAAAATGTGTCAGGTCTCTGTGGGTCCCAGATCATTAGCAAGATCAATTCCTTTTTCACTGCAGAGATCAGAGGCTACAGTCTTGCATAGCCAGTCCTTCAGCTGCTGACATACCAAGCAAACAATGCAGAAGCAGAAGAGCTGGTGTGTGGCTGCCTGAATTGCTATGCCTGGATTTTTGTTGTGATAGAAAATTCTTCCCTCACTTTGGAGCCTGTGAAATTAATTCAGTCCCTTGCAGGATTGGGTCAGAACAGTCTCATCAGCTCCAGTACTAGAAATGTTAAATCCCTTAACTTGGGGCTTGCAGTGAAAAAGATTTTTCAGTTGCTTCAGGAAGTTGATAATAGGGTATGAAACTTTCACCTCTGAAAGAGGGCCGGTAATAATTTGAAATTGTTGACATCTGAAGAAGTATAGTCTGATGCTGGTGTGAAAGAAGTTTGATGTGACTCAGTCCAGTTCCACAGCCCTAGCCCACCACCACTGCTAACGTGATTTGCAACCCTACTGGAGGTGCCAGTAGATACGTCTCAGAGCCAAGTGTACTGAACAGACTGAATTTACTTCTTAGTCATGGATGTGGTTGAGTCACAAGCTTGCATGTTCTCAGTAAACACTGTAACTGTTCTGTGAATAAATAGAAGAACCCAATTTACAGAGGGTTGTAAGACTGTACACCATAAAATGCCGTTCTTCTGCTATGACTAGTCTTAAAGTGTGGCTACGAGCATACCATTTAACCTTTCACTGCTTTAATCTCTCATCCCCTGCAGAAAAATGTTTAGATGTGGCGCTTCAAGACATGGTTTAGTGGGTTTAGAGGGCATGGTGGCATCGGGTACATGGTTGGACTTGATGATCTTTGAGATCTCTTCCAACCATAATGATTCTATGATTCTATGGGATTGTTAAAATTTGATTGTACATTGCTCTGTAATACTACATAGCATGAGGCATTCTCAGTTCTTTGCTTTCCCTCTCTAGGGTGGATACATGCGGTTTATACTCCAGTAGATTCTCTGGTGTTTGGTGGAAATATCCTGCATAGCTTTAATGTTCCCATGCAGCTTCGCATCTATGAAATTGAGGACAGAACAAGGGTAAGGATACTTGATTCTCTTTTTAACTGAACAGTTCTTTGTGACTATGACCTGTCATAGTCTCTCCCTCGTATTCCCTTCTGACAAACAAGAACTGATGGGATCTCCATGTCAGAGTCGTTGAAACAAGAGGTAAATATGAAGTAATGAGATGTTCAAATGTTGACCATTTTTAGTGGGATTTACTCATCTGGTTTTTCCTACTTCCCACAGACGTGTCCCTCCTGTGTCTTTTGTCTGCCTGTTAAACCTTCATAAAACTCCTTCCTTTTTGCACAAAAACATACTGTGCTTTACAGACCTTTGTACCAGTATTTCTGGTAACCCTCTGCTTAGCATCTCTCTGTGCACACCTGGAATGGATACCCGAGCCTGGAGAACTAATGGGACTAGGATGGTCCACAGCTGAATTGCCAAAGTTGCGCAGAAGTTGTGTATGAAATATCTTCTGTACTTTGCAGGATTTTCTTTACAATGACTTGATACTATGCACGAATTTCTTGAAACAAAGGGAGTCTGGGGTGGGACAGTAATCTAAATGTTGTGATGCTCATCTGGCTTGTAGCATCTACCTGATGGAAAGAG